GAAATTAAACTAAATCAAGACAACAGGTTAAAAATATAATGAATATGTAATGTAGTGCATATATTTATCAAAATGCTCCTCTCAAAAGATATTTTAGCTATAGCTGACTAACTAGTTTATGGTCATTGAATGGCTTTCCTGATGTAAATGTTTCGTGACAATGTTTACAAGCTGTTTTATTGATGTCTTTCCGCATTTGAAACACTGTTTGATATCAAAAGAATCAAAGTTTATGGATTTCAGATGAGCCACAAATAATGCTTAGTAGTGGTCAACCGATATATCGGCCGATATCTGCCATTTTTCAAATATCGGCATTAGCCGATAAGTTTTTCTGTTCGAGGTGGGACTTTTATTTTGACGGCGCCGAGAACGGCTGCGGCAGCGCCTGAGTGAGCACACAGTGCTCACATTCTCCCTCTTGTTCGCTGTTGTCATTCAGTTCTGTCTAATACGGATAGAAGTCGGTCTAATAATCCGATAGAAGTGCTTTATGCATTTGCCCACTGTCATATTCATTGTGTGCTGTATGTAAAATGACTGTTACCTTGGCTTTATTTGAAAAAATATGATTCCCAATGCACACAAACTTCCCAGAATACTGAGTCTTTATATCAACTTTCTAATGATATAATTATGTTCATGTAATATGAACAATTAAACAGCGGATGTAATAAAAATGTATTTTCAGTGGTTACAGTGTTTACTTCCTTTTTAATTATATTTTTATTAAATATTTATTTATTTGTGAAAAATACTTTGTCTTGTAGAGTATAAGTATGTTTATTTTACACGTTTATTTTTTAATCCATTATCAAATGATTTCAAATTTCTTAAATAATTTAAAATAAATAAAATTATATCGGCTTTATATCGGCCACCCTGCTTTCTAAGATATCGGCATCGGCTGTCAAAAAACCCATATCGGTCGACCACTAATGCTTAGTGAGGTTTTGTTCACGCATCAACAGAAAACAGCACAGACTAAAAGATCTCAGCTCATCAAAATGAAGACTGAGCGCTCCTCTATTGAAGATTTTGGCAAAAAAAATAATTTTGATAATTTCGAAATTTCTGTGCATCGCTAATTACAACAATCTATGAAAGCTCAGAGAGGAGAGGAGAACAGATGCATGAGGAGGAAGAGAGATGAAGAACAAATGCTTCGGTGGGATGGGAGTCGCTTGCTTTCTCTCGCTGCTAATGAATATTTCAGGAGCAGGAATATTTGAAAAGATCACCAGGGCCCACCGCTGACGAGAACACGCGTGAAACACGGCCGTATGTGAGGCTGAGCTCATGCATGATGATGAAGATCAGCTCATCTTCAATCAAACACGATCTGCACGAGATCTCAGCATCACCACGCATCAATGCCGACAGACAAACCACAGCCAGATCCTCTTTACATGCTGATACATTAAAGCACATCAGTCTGATTCTATACTAATGCAAAAGTTCCTTCATGCATCCATTATCAGCCTGCATTAGACTAATCAACTATATTACATGGTGGAATAAATGATTACAGTGATTATTAAATCAATTTAATCATTTACAAAGCATCTTTTATTATATTGACTATTGACGCTCACTTTATGTGCCAATAACACTCCCTAAACATAGAAAAAAAATAATACACACGTGACCTTTTGCTTGGCCTTATTGCTTTACTTGGTGTCATTTTACTGTAGCGATATACATACATACATACATACATACACATATATATATATATATATATATATATATATATATTTTTTATGAGAATAGA